TTCTAACTTCCGCTGTGTGGAGAATGGACTGTAGGGGCCAAGAATAGACGTAGGGAGAACAGTCAGGAGGCTTGTTGCCATCGTCCAAGCCAGAAAGGATGGTGGCTTGAACTAGTGTGAGAGTGATGGAGTTTGTGTGGAAGGAAGGTGGGGCTGGGACTCAGTGGATTTGACTGGCAGTAGGAAGGGCAGGGTTGAGGGAGAAGAAAAGGAAGAGAAACCAGGGATGATTCCTAGATTTTTGGCCTCAGCAACTGGGTGAATGATGGTGCTATTGACTGAGATGGGGGAAACATGGTTTTGTGTGTGTGTGTGGGGGGGAGGGGTGGTGAATCGAGAGCACTGTTATAGGCATCTTAACTTTGAGAAGCCGATTAGACACATGAAGTGGAGAAGCCAAGGATATATGCGTTCGGGGCTTGGTGAGGAGGTTGAGGTGAGGATATTGACGTGGGAGTCATGTTTAAAGCCATGGGATGGGGCGGGCCCCGTGGCTTAGCGGTTAAGTGCGCGGGCTCTGCTGCTGGCGGCCGGGGCCCGGATCCCGGGCACGCACCAACGCACTGCTTCTCCAGCCATGCTGAGGCCACGTTCCACATACAGCAACTAGAAGGATGTGCAGCTATGACATACAACTATCTACTGGGGCTTTGGGGGAAAAAAAATAAATAAATAAAAATTAAAGCCATGGGATGGAGTGAGATTAAAGAGTGTAGATGGAGAAGAAAAGAGAACTTAGCGTGGAGCCCTGCCAGGTCCCCCATCAGGCTTCAGAGAGGGCCTAGCTCAAGGGACTTAGCTAAGCCAGGAGGAAAACAGAGATAGTGCGTTTCCGGAGGTGGAAGGCGGGGAGGGGGATATTTCTAGAAGAGAAAGTTCACCCCTGTTGAATGTGGCTGTGAAATGGGGTCAGAGAAGGGCCCATTGGATTTGGCTGGAGCAGTTTCAGCTGCTGAGGGGCGGGATTGGAGGAGGGAGACAGGCCAGGATGCCTCTTAAAAAAGTCTCTAAGGGGTCAAGCACAGGTCACTGACAAAGGTCATGGCACAGAGAGGCGAGGAAGGCAGTGTAGACGGTGAGTGTAGAAAATGCACTTGAAAAATTTTGCTGAGAGCAAACTGGGAGTCACAAGATGTGGGAGCAAGCTACTAGTTGCTTGTATAGTGATGAGAATTGTCCAGCAAAAAAGGAACGTGTTAATGATTGAAAAGGAACAATTGCTGGAGTGAAGTTGTTGACTAGCAAGAGGACAGGGTCCAGAGCAGCCCTGGAGGGCCTGCCTCTGATGGGACCAGGGCACTTGTTCCACTGGAGGGGGGAGTGGAGAGGCAGCTGACACGTGAAGTGAAGAGAGCAGCTTGGGAGAGTTGGTGGTTGGATTATGAAAGAGCCCCGTCTGATTCTGCTGTCTCTCAGACAACTGCTAGGGGAGGTCGTGAGGGAGGGGGCTGTGGGGAGCTTTGGTGACTTGGGGATTGGAAAAGCCAACACACGGGGAGACTTAGTAAGAGCGTTAGTCAGCATTAAGGGTGTGGGAGAATGGGTGCCCTCCATCATTGCTGGTGGGAGCACGAGCTGTCCCACCACTTGGGAGAGCAATTGGGCAAATTCTATGGAAGGTCTCCTGGGTGTACCCTATGACCCAGCATTGCCGTGTCCTTCTCTAGCTCTTCCCCGGAGAAGCCCTCACACGGGAGCACAAGGAGGCATGCAAAAGACATGGCCCCAGTACCACACACTGAAAATAGTCTACATGTCCCTCAACAGAATGGCTTTAAAAAAACCTAGGAATATCCATAGTAAGGATTATAGTGCAGGAGTTTTGAAAAACAAAGCACATCTCTGCAAACTGTCATAGAGAGGCTTCTAAGGCATCTAGTGCAGAAAGGAAGTGACAGAAAACACATACAGTGTAATACTATTTATAATAAGGAATGCCCACATGCTAAAAAAAATGCCGTTTTCTAGAAGTATATAGGTATGTATGTAAATACAAAGAAAGAGGACTAGAGAGCTATGTTACCAAACTGATATTAGTATCTGGTATTAGCATAATTGGAAAAGTGGAATTTCAGCTTATTCATATTATTTATAAGTGAATTAACTCATTTAATTTGTGTAAATTTAAAAAAATATTTTTACAGAGACAAGACAGGGCTCAAACTCAAGCCCTGAGGAAGCAGGTCCTGGGGCATGAGGATTAGGGGTCCTAAGCACGGGGCATTTGCCTAAGAGGCTTGGCAGTGAGGGTAAAGAAATGCGGGCAGAGCACATGTAGGGGACAGCCGGTGTGTTCAGAATTTTTAAAACACCTTTGAAATACTCCTGGATCAGAGAAGAAATCATAATGGTAATTAGAGAGTATTGAGACCAGAATAATAACAAAATATACCCCATCTCAGGCCTGTGTGACTCAATGATGTAATGAAACCGAGAACTAAGGAGTTAAAAAATCTTCCCTAGAGCAAAAACTTTAAGATAAGCTTTGCTAGCTGCAGCTGTGCGCATTCAACATAATCAGCTGTTGTTCAAAACTAACCAGGTCTTTCTGTCCCTCAGTATATGAGTGAGCTGTCTTTCCCAGGAAGTCAAGGTCCAGACAGACGTCAAGATTCAGCCTCACGAGGCCGAACGCAGGCTGAAGATAAAAACGAACCAGAAAAGTCCGGACAGTCAAGGAAAAAGAAATTCAGTCTTCAAGGTCAAACGCAGGCTGGTGGGAAGGCGCCAACCAGCAAGGCCACGTGCTCCCCCTCCCCTACCTAAAACCCCAGCACATGCTCTCCCTCCTCTACTGAAAACCCCAGATAAAAACCCCTACCTTTTTCCCTTGGAACTGTGTCTGAGTTCTAACTCCCATCTCCTCATCTGGCTGCCTTTTGATGGTAAACCTCTTTCCTTGCCACAAACCTGATGTTTCAGTTATCGGCCCTACTGTGTGACAGGTAAACGACCCTGTGTTTGTGTTCAGTAACAATAACACTTTGATGGATGTTGATAGCTGTTAAGTGCTCAGGCTGGGGGAGAATTTGGAGAGGGATTAGTGATCTATAGGTTGGGGACTGGACAAATGACACAAGACTATTGACTTCAGGGACAGTCAAAAGTTGTACAAGAAAGGAAAATAATAGAATGCTACATGAGTCAGCTTATGAGTGTTTCATGGTCATAATACAAACACTGGACATTGATCCTCTAGATTTGCAAGGTCCATGAGCACAGAGGATTTTTTCTTTTATTCACTGCTGTACTCCCAGCCTCTAGAACAGTGCCTGGAATGTCAAAGGCACTTAATAACTATTGTCAAATAAATCTAACCAGAATTATGATGTAACTACATCAGAAAGATGCTGGGACAGAAAATGTACATGTGTATGGTGGCAGTGGGTGACATCCTTAAATTTTATAGCAATAGGAAATAGAAATAGGAAAACAATAGGTAATGCCTAAAACACAAGACTTATGAAGTAGCGACAGAAACATGTGATTTGGAAATTGATGGTAAATACTAAAAGGAAAACAAAACAGCAAAAAGATTTGGAACTGGATGTCTCTGGGGAGAGAGAAATCAGCAGACAGCTTTAAAAAAAAAAAAAGCCTTATAACATTGTTCAATTGTTTTAATCTCTGGGCATGTGTAGTGGGTTGCATGGTAGCCCCAAAAGATATGTCTGTGTCCTACCTTCTGGAACTTATGAATGTGAAGTTTTTTGGAAAAGGGTCTTTACAGATGTAATTAAGGATCTTGCGATAAGATCACCCTGGATTATCTGGGCAGGCCCTAAATCAAATGACTAGTGTTCTTATAAGACACAGAGAGAGAGAGAGAGAGAGAGAGAAGGGAAGGCCACGTGGAGACAGAAGCAGAAATTGGAGTTATGCAGTGAGAAGCCAAGAAATGCCTGAAGCCACCTGAAGCTGGAAGAGGCAAGGAAGGATTTTGCCCTAGAGCTCTCGAAGGGAGTGTGGCACCGCAGACACCTTCACTGTGAACCTTCAGAACTGTTGTAAAGTAAATTTCTGTTGTTTTAAACCAGCAAGTGTGTAGTAATTTGTTCCTGGATCTCTATGAATCAAATACAGCAATAATAACTGAGATAAAATAAAAATAAGAAAATTTATTGATGTACTTCACCACATTGATTAAAACAGCAAATAATAGATACAGAAAAAGCATTTGATGAAAGTCAACACATATTCATGACACAAAAAACCACCCTTAGCAAACTAGGAAGAGAGCAGGCCTTCTTTAACCTGATAAAGGACTTTTTTTAGACTATACACAGAAACAGTAAAAACTGTAATTCTTGTTCCAATTCTGTGATATATAAAATAACTGTGTGTGCTGTGGAAAGGCATCATTATACCATTCTAGAATGGTATTAAAGACTATGGACTTTGAGTTTAAAATTGGGCTCCCTCATTTATTAGTTGTGTGACTTATGGCAGATTATGTAACCCCTCTGTGTCTCAGTTTCCTTATCTGTAAAATGGGGGTAAACCTATAGCAAGCATCATACTTAACAGTGAAACCTGAAGTCAGGAACGAGACACCGTCAGTACTGCTTCTATTCACTTCTGTACTAGATCCTGACCAGAGCAGTCAAACAAGCAAAAACAGACAATTTCTAGGTACAGCAATGTTCAATGGCTCCTAGGTTGACAGGACGGAGCCAGGAGAAAGACTAGAGGTCAGACAGTTGAGAGCGAGGAGTACGAGAAGGTGGGCGAGATGGCTGGTGTTCAGGTGTAGCAGAGTGGAGTGAGGTCCCCAGCACCCCCAGGCCCTGGGAGTCAGAGCAGGGGAAAGACGAGACAGTGGGGAGGCGGAGGCTGGGAAGTGACGGGGTGGGTATCCAAGCTGAGGGCGGGGTGCTCCAGAGACAGCAATGCAACGTCCATCCTGGCACCCAGCCTGGGCAACTCCCCAGCCCGCTCCCCAGAGGGGACAGCTTCCTCCACAGCAGTCTCTACCTGTAAACATCTAATCTACACTTGTCAGTATAAAAAGCTTCCGCTTTTATTAAATAAAAAGGAGGTAGAAGACAGATAAGGGAACAGGCCACGGACCCCTGCTTCCAATTACACATACAGACACACAAACACAGACACAAACGAGTAAATGACAGGGACAGTTCAGGGGACAGACTGAGGGGCAGAGGGAGGCAGCACCCTCCGGGAGTGGGCCCGGACCCAAGGGTGGGCTGAGACCTGGGCCAGGGGCAGCCGTTCTGAGGGGTTGTGCTTGAGCAGCTTGGAGATGAGGTCCTGGGCTCCTGCGGGCACAGAAGCGGGGAACTTCAGGTCCACCTACAGAAGTAGAGAGAGGAGAAGGAAGGGCCCCATTACATGCATCCTGGTTGCTTTTTCCTTGACTGCCCATGCCATTTGGAGAGTTACGTAGCCCCCGGCCTCTGCAGCCAGCGCAAAGCCCCAGCCAGGCACCCAGGCCAGCCCTCGCACCTTGACGATGCGCCGATAAGTCTCGTTGTGTGAAGCACTCTCAAAGGGCGGGTTTCCCACCAGCAGCTCGTAGCAGAGGACTCCGATGCACCACAGATCCACCTTTTCATTGTGTGTGCGCCCCTCAATCATCTCTGGGGGCAGGTAGTCCAGGGTGCCACACATAGTCTTCCTCCTGGGTGGGGTGGGGTGAGTAGGCAGGGACCCCAGAGGTAGACGGCCTCTCCTTTCCCTGCTGCCCGACAGGGAGCCAAGAGACCCCAGGATGCAGCAGGGGAGTGTTCCAGCCAGGCTCTGACAAGGCCTTTCAGGTAGGAGTGGGGTGAGGCTATAAACCAAAGCCCCAGAGGAGGGCTTACATGCTGCCTCAGCGTTTCCACTCTGAGAAATGGCTCTCCAAATAATCAGATACGAGGGCACTGTTCACCTTAGAACTAAAGGAAAAATTGGGGACATCTCGGATGTCCATCAAGCATGCCCTGCTTAAATAAATCAGGTCACATCTCTACTATGCAATACTATGAAGCCATTAAAGATGATGTGCGAGTGTTCTCAGTGATATGGCAAGGGGGTCCCAAATATATTGATTAAGAAATCTGGGCAACAAAACTGGGTCTCTTATTTTGTAAAGATATTGCTGTGTCTATGTTTACATGACGCCAGACCCAAATGTCTCTGGGTAACAACATGTGGAGTGGTTTTATTTTGAATGTCCCAGCCTCATACCCATGGCTGGCCTCCTGTCCCACCGTACCTCAGGGAGGGCGCGTGCACCGACCAGCCAAAGTCCGCAATCTTCAGCTCTCCCTGGAGCCCCAAGAGCAGATTCTCTGGCTTTATGTCTCTGTGAATCACCTTCTTCCCGTGGCAGTAGATCAGAGCATCTGCCAGCTCCTCCATGATCTGGGAGGGCCAATGACAGGCGATTAGACAAGGATGGACCTCTAGCTGCAAGCAGCGTACCCCTAGCCTCAGGCCCCCTGCCGGCGCTCCAGGTGCCCACCCGCCCCGACCGTGGCTGTTCGCTGCTCATCAAAAGTGCGGCTCTTCTGCAGCTCCTTGTAGAGCTCCCCCCGGGGGGCATACTCCAGAATCAAGTAGATCCTTCGCCGGTCATAGAAATAATTGTAGAGACGCAAGATGTTGGGATGCCTGGGAGAAGAGACAGGAGGACTGAGGCTGCATCCTGGCATAAGGAAATGGGAAAGATGACAGGTCTCATATGGGGCAAACTGGGGTCAGACGTGGGCCAGGCCGGGGACACGAGGGCTGGCCCTGGCAAGGGGGACGTGGAGACAGCTCTCTGGATTGAGAGCTCAATGGTGCTAAATGGCCACAGCTATAGAGAAAAGTCTAGATGTGGTGGGGTTGAAAGAGGAGCTGGGGGGAGGGAGCAGGGGGCTTGGGCTCAGAGGGCGTTGGCCCGTACTGCAGATGGGCCTGGATTTCAATCTCCCTGCGCAGCTGGTGTTCCACGCCCTCCTTCTCTATCTGAGACTTGAAGAGGACCTTGAGTGCCACGATGAAATGGCTCTTCTTCTCCCGAGCCAAGTACACATTTCCAAACTTGCCTTTGCCCAGAGGACGCCCAATCTCAAAGTCATCAATCGTGAAGGACCGCCTGATTAGAGAGTGGGGGGAAGGCAGCTGAGCACTGGTTTGTGGGTTGCCTGAGGTTTTTGCTTTCCCCCTGCCCTTCAGCTCCATTTCTCTTTGAAGGGAGTTGAGAATGGATCAGGCTTTCTTGCCCCCGCCCCCACACCTCCTGCCCTTAGCTTCTGCCTCCCTCATCTCCTACCTGTTCACCGTCTCCCTCTTCTCTTGCCGCCCCAAAACTTGGGCACTTACATTAACAAGTTGGGCGTCCCACTGCTGTTCTCCACCACCTTCTGGCCAAGGGCAGCTTGGAAAGAACAGTTAAGTTGAGGCCCTCCCTTGACATTTTCATCCCTGCACCCTCCCCGTAGACTCTAGTCCCCTCAAGTCAATCCCCTCCCCGCTGTCACAGTTACCTGTGGGCTGGGCATTGGAGCGGCTCATGAGGACAAGTGCAGATGGGGTGACAGGCTCCTTCCGGAGGACTCTCTGGGGCAGGGTGTTCAGGCCAGACTGAGCCTGAGAAGGAGCAGGAGGGAGCTCTGAGGGTGTCTTTGTCTCAGCGGCCGGGTTGGAATGTGCTGCAAGCAGCATTTCAGTGCTTTCTATAGAGCCACCCACCCACCCATCCCCACCTCAAAGAGGAACACTGAGACAACAATTTTGCTACTCAGCCCCAAGACTCTGCTCAGAGCCCCATATTAAAATGGGTTCTTAATAAACAACGTAAGTTGGCCCAAGATAAGGAGCAAAGGACTTAACGCCACACTGAACATTTCACCTCTTTGGCCCTGGCCCACACCACATTCTCAGGCATGAAGCTGTCCAACCTCTGTAGTCCTGTCTGCAACACCACTCATTCACCCAGCCCCCACCCCTGGGGGCTGCAGAGGGCTGGGGTAATGAACACCCACAATTCAAGGTGCTAAAGCACAGAGGCATTCTCATAGCCCCTAAAAAGCTCAGTCTATTAAGGCTTACACAGGGTCCTTGAGGCCTTGAATGTTGCAGCAAATATCAGTATTTACCCCTTTGCAACATCAGGCTTTAGGGACGCTGAAGGCTACTGTGATGGCCTTGGACCACTTCTCACATTCAACTTCTGAGTAATATACATAACTTCCTTTTGGGAGTGACCGAGGTAGAAGTGACAATGGTTTCTCATTCAGCCTCCACTCTTGATAGCCTCACTCAGTGCTCCACAAGGGAGGGAGCTGGTGGACACAGCGACAGATGGACGCTACGGGAGATCTAAGCCCCACCAACAGGGAGCAAAGCCTGTGCAGGGCCCCTTCTTTCTTCTTTAGCCAAGAGGGGAAGAAAGCCTCAGTGCCCCTTCAAACCTGTTCCCAAAGAGTGATATTAGAACAGAATTTACAAATAAGCAAGTTGAACAAAATAGAGTCCAGAAACAGACCCACATATATGTGGGAATTTAATATATATAAAAAAGGTAGCATTTCAAATCAGAGGGTAGACTCTTCAATGAAAGGTGTTGGGACAACTGGAAAATAAATCAATTTAGATCCTTACCTCACACCAGTCATTAAAATAAATTCCAAATTATTTAGACTTGTCTTGAACCTTTTAAACTTATAAGTTTATCTCAATCCTTCACGAGTCTATTTCTATTTCCTGCCTAGCCTATTTTTTTCAGGACAAAGGTTGGGAATCATGGCCTGAAGGCCAGACCCTGCCTGCTCTCTCCCAGATATCATTTGTATATGACAAGTAGGCTCAGCCCTGCAGGGGTCCTCACAGGCTGGTCAGATTCGAGTTGGCAGCACCTGACAGGATGTGGCTGCAATTGCCCAGACTGGGTTCGGCCAGCAAACTTTTGGGGCCCATACTTTGGAGCATAACCGAGAAGAAAGTGCTTGGAGGATCGCCCTCTGCAGGACCTCGAATCTGGAAGTAGGAACTCGCCATGCCGGTTTGGGGGGAGCGGAAGTGGGCATGCCCTTACCGTCTGCCTGCCGTAGGGCCAGGGGTAGGCGTTCTCCTTCTGGGCCATCCTTAGAGGGAAGCGGGGAGGAGAGCTGGGCAGAGAAAGGAACAGAACCGTGAGAAGCAGAAAAAAGGGAGAGAGAGAGGGAGGGGTCGGACCCATCTAGTCGGAAGCGCTTGCCTGGGGCTGGTGAAAGGGAGCAAGTCTACACGCTGGCCACATCAGGGCGCACCCGGGCGCTCGCCTGGCCGCCCCCGCCCTGCTACCGGCCCAGCCCCTTCCAGGACCCTCTCTCCACCCTTGAGCGCCCAGCAGCCGGCGGAGTGCGCGTGGGCCCGCCCAACGGACCCCCGACCTGCCTGATCACCTGCCGTCTCCCGGCGCAAGGCCTGCGAAAGGAGGGCAGCTCACCTGGAGCCCGTGGCACAGCCACTCTCCTGGCCGCTGGCAAACGACTCACCCTGCCCAGCCGCGCCCCTGCCGAGTTCCTTTCAAATCTCCCGCCCTGGTCCCATTGGCTAAGCGGGCCGCCCATGTCCAATCCTCATTGGCTGGATGTCCCATGACGTAGCCCGCGGGGCCCCAATGGAAGAGGCGAAATGCGAGCCGCAGCCAGCTCATGTTCCGGATTAGAAAAGTTTCCCTTATCCCACGATCAAATATTCTCATATCTTTTAAAAAATTTTTTGAATTTTAATATATCTGGAATCTATCCTTGTGTATGTATGATCTAGGGTCTAACTTTGTTTTCTGCCAGATGGAGAGCCAGTTATGCCAGCACCATTTGTTAAACAAACGACATCATTCCCAGCGGAATTTAAATGCTACCCTTGATATATTGTCGTCGTAGATAGTTGGATCTATTTCTGGACTCTGTATTCTGTTACATTGTTTGTTTGAAGGTATGTTTATTCTTGTGTCATTAATATTTTGTTCTGTAAAGTCTTTCACTCACTTTCCTAGTAGGAATTTTCCGTCAGCGGTCCTTTCTCTGCAGGTCCCCTGACCAAGGCTGCAGCGTTTGGACCGACTGTCACTTTTCTCCTTCCTGCCACGCTCCCTTCTTCTCTGCTCTTTCTGAGCCCAAATTTTATTATTGGGTTAAATAAATACATTTTGAGACGTTCTATGAAATGACTAGTGGATATTTGCAAGTATTGCCTGTCCAGTATCCTTCCTATTACTTTGAATAATAACACCCTAACTTTGCTTTAGGGCAACCACCTGTCTGCCTGTTCTGTGTTGTCGGTTTCTGTTGCTACCGGCCCCAAATCCCTAACTTGATGGGAGACCTATTGTGGTGGACACTGTGGTTATCTACCCAGCGTCCATTCTCCCAGCGATTCCTACTTCCTGAAAGCACCTAAAGTTTTGGGTCTCAGAGGGAAGCTGACCCCATCCCAGGTCCAGGAGTGGACCCTGTCTGATTTACAACAGTCAGCACCTTTTATGCCAGGATCATGGTCACTGGTTCGGGGATAAGCATGTGAATTAAGTGGGCCAGTTAGTGGGAATTTTAGGATTCTTGTCCAGAATGCTGAGCAGAAACTCCTTTTCTCCTGCTGGAAGTGGGCAAGGAAGCATGCAGCCCTCATTGTTGCTGGTGGTGCTCCTGAAGGGAGCAGCCTGAGAATGAAGCTCACATTGCAGAGGGAAGAAGAGAGGCCTGGGAAGAACCCGAGACTTTGAGGACATTGTGGAGCCTCTGGATGCCTATTTCAGCACTTTCCTTACATGAGCCAATAGGTTTCCTTCCCTAATGCATTAAGAGTTCTGTTATTTGCTGTCAAAAGCATACTGCTAAACTAAAAGATAAAACAGCCAGTTATTTTACCAGCAAAATGGTTTTTTTCAGGAACAGCAAAGTATTGCAAGTTGGGACAAGCAAGCTATAGCAAAAGCCATAGGCAAGGTCAACAATCAAAGAAGAGGAACATTATTTTATAAGGAAAAAGGAGGAAATTAGGAGGGGTTGTTTTGAATGCAAGTTCATTAGAGAAAAGCAAAAGTTCAGAGTGATGATGGTTTCTCATTGGCTGACTTGCTCCATAGTCGATTTCCGTTTGGGATGAAATGTTTATTTCTTTGGGTAGAGGTCTGTGATTGATGATTTTTTCTGTTAGACTTCTTTCTGTTGGGGTCTGTAATTGAGATTCTTGCCTGTACTTGTAATTGACCTTGAATGGTACTGCATGAGAACTCCCCCTTCTGGCTTCCAGACTCCACTTTAAATGAGGTTTCCCTTTATTAATTTTCACAATACTAACTGACACACATCTACAGACCTAGAGTGTTCTTAGTTATTTAGGTTGAATGATGTGAAATTGCTGATAGTCAATCATTTTGACCTACAAAAGATACCAATTTCATATGATTCAACCAAATGTAAATCAAATAAGTCCTTATGGGTTTCTAGATCAGTTCATAATGCTTTTGGCTGCAAGTAAAAGAAAACTCAGTTAACAACGGCATAAACAATAGGGATCTATTTTCTTTTCCATAACAAGAAATCAGAAAGTTGGTAGTTGGTTAGGGAAATGTTAGAGATCTGCATTGGCCTCTCTCTGATTCTCTTGACATTTCCCTTATGAATGCAAGATGGCTGCCAACTGTCTCTGTCTCTTTTATCAGGAAAAGCAGAAACCTTTCTACAAGTACCCAATAGATTTATCATTGGCCAGAATTGTGTCACATGACTGCTGCAAAGGAGGCTGGTAAAGTGAGTGAGGCTGGTAAAGTGAGTATCTCTTCTAGCCACTATGGTTAAAGCAGCAAGGGAGTGTGGTGGTAGGAATACATGTGTGCTGCAATTGCTTATAATTTCATTCTGGGGACCCCATGATTAATTTAAAAAGTCAGATATCTGTGCATGATGAGGTATCTTCAGAGATTTGATGATCATGGCCACCCTGCTGCCATTGGTGAAAAATCATTTTACTTCTGGAGGTACACTGTTTTCCCTTAGGGTCAGCTTAACCCCACTTCCCAAGATCAGGGAGCCCATTTCGACTGCGGCACCTTTATCTACATACTTGGCATAGAGGGACTAGCCAATGAAGAGCTTTATAAAAATTCTATCCCTTGCAGTATACTTTATTCCTCAAGCCCTAGTGAAGGGAGACTTTTCTGGAACCTATAAGGTGAAATAGTACATGGGTGGGATATACCTGATTGATCCAATACAGTATCTCTGTCCCCTGGAGTCTTTAAATTCTTGCTTGCACATTATGTTAGAAGATATTTGGCCTTTCAGGAATATTTGATGGGCCAGCATAAAATCAGGATTTGCATTACTCATAAAAAACCAAACCAAACAAAAACTATCTGTTCTATCAGCTAGGCAACTATCAGCTGCCTGTTCAAGTCAGTGAACAAAACCTCTGTTATTTACCCCAGTGCTTCTCAAACAATCTGTGGGGAAGGACCAGTCTTGATTATTTTCAATCTATCACAGATCAATAATGTTATAAAATACACTAAAAATGAATTCCTTGAAAAACGAAATCTAAAAAATATAAAAATTACAATCCCACATTTTTTGGTATAATCAACCTATATAAAAGTACTCTGACAAATGCTGGAGGAGTTTTTAAATGCTTACTCTCAAATTCTAAACTCATCTTGGACTTGAAAGAGACAGTCCATGAAGCGGCACCAGTCTGTGGACCACACTTTGAATACTACCAGTCTACATCCATAGCAATAAATGCAGCCCTGCCCCAAATTATGCTTTGCTCTCCTTGGTCAGGCACACTCAAAACCCACTCTCCTGCGGATATTCCCCGGGTTTATAATGATGTAAATTAGCAATTTCCTCTGAGTGTAATTCTTTTCTTTTTTCCTCTTGCTTTGCTTTTTGCTTCCCAGTTCATGTTAGATGTGGATTCTGGCTACTGGCCAAGTAACAATGAGAGGTATCAGTGAGGGGGGATTGTCACTTTCTCCTGCCAGGGCTGAATTTTCCTGTGACTGGGAAAGGTCAGAATGTTTCGTGTTCCGAAGGTCAGGCAGGATGTCTGGGATACTATAATGTTTGTGAGGCACAGATGTCAGCCTCTTTTATTTCTGATAATGGGACAACTCAAGAAGAAATTTCAAGACATGAATTTTCATCATCAGCCAATAAGCCCCTTCCAGGGATGAGGAGTAGACTCAGAAGGGTCTGGAAGGGGCTTGCTGGGGAAGCCTGGCTAATACCTCCACGTCTTCCCACTAAGTTGTCCTCATTAAGGTAAACCTGAGGCAATGCTGCTGAATTAAGTAGGCGTGGCAAGACAAGGGTGCCCTCCATCCAGTCTTCCCAGAGCCTCCCCAGGTCAAACATCATTGCTGGGGTTTGCTCCTGGCTATTAGGTCCCAAGTGTTGGTCGTTGGTACAAACCACAAGCCTGGACCAAATGCGTCCCTGCCACAATGGCTGAAGCCTGAGGCCCTGCCCAGGTCCATTTATGTGTCCTCAGAGATTGGATCAGCAAGGACAGTGCCCCTTGCCAGGTGACCAGACAACAAGCCTGTACACTATGCCTTTGAGGCATTTTTTAAAACTTTTTATTGAAGTATACATACATAAAATGTATAGCTGGATGAATTTTCCTAAACCGAACAACCCTGTGTAACCAACACCCAGATCAAGAAGCAGAATGTTTCCGGCACTTCAGGAGCCCCCTCATCCTCCTTTACCAGTTACTATCTTTCCCAAGAGTAACCACTATCCTGACTTCTAACCCATATACTAGCTTTGCCTGTTTTGACCTTTATACAAAAGACCTTCATACAGTATATATTCTTCTGTCTGACTTCTCTCATTCAACATTATGTTTGTGAGATTTACCCATGTTGTTGATGTATTGATTTTTAAATATACATGAACATGATAAAATTTACACAGGTTAGTTCAAAGTAAGTCTCTCTACCAACTCTAATTGCCTCGTCCTCCACTCCCATCCCCGGAAGCAAACACTGTCATCAGATTCTTGTGTGTCATTTCAGAGTCCTTCTCTGTGTGTGTATGTGTATGTATGGTTATTTTGTTATCAAAATGATTCATGCAAACAAACAAACGAACAAAAAATGCAGAGTGATTGTAAAGAGGAAATTGAAAGTCCTCAGTCCCAACCAGAGGAGTTAATCAGAGGTAACTCCTGCTAACATTTTCTCATATACCCTTCCAGAACTTTCCTATGGATATATTAGTCTATGTCTGTCCTTTAAAAATTGTGCAGCCATATGTACAAATATCGAATCATTATATTGTACACTTGAAACTAATATAATGTTATATGTCAATTATACCTCAATAAAAAAATTGTGCAAATGGAATAATACACCCATTGTTATCCCATTTTTAATCTGTCAATTTACCTTGGACATTTTCCCACATTAACACAGTCAAATATACCTCATTCATTTTTATTGCCATATAGATTCTCTTGTATAGGGAAGGGGAACAGGCAGAAATGGGTGGTGTCCATCAACTGATGAATAAATAAACAAAATGAGGTAAATCCATACAATGGAATATTATTCAGCTATAAAAAGGAATGAAGTACTGATCATGCTACAACCAACATAGATGAACCTTGAAAACACAGTGCCACCTAAAAGAAGCCAGATACAAAAGGTCACATATTATATGATTCCATTTATATGAAATATCCAGGATAAGCAAATCCATAGAGAAAGATTATGTACTGGTTTCCAAGGACTGGGGAGAGTGGGGAGCAACTGCTTCTTTATGGAGTGGTGAAAATGTTCTGGAATTAAATAGTGGTGATTGATGCACAACTGTGTGAATATACTAAAAACCCCTGAATTGTACACTTTAAAATGGTTAAAATGGTAAATTTTATGATAAGTGTATTGTACCACAAAAAATTATGAAATATCTCAAATATCAAGAATACTCTTTAAAAGCACTTGTGTAATTACTACTCAATTATTCAAATCTTAACATGATTTGCCATATTTGCTTCTGATTTTTTTTATGAAATAAAAGACATACAGGTGAAGCTCCAGTATAAAATTTTAAGAATTAAGTCTATGCATACTGTTTCTCTACCATTTTCCTCTATCGTCTTTTCTCTGAAACTCCTCTTAGAGTTACATCAGAGCTTCTAATTCTATCCTCCACATCTTTTAGCTTGCTTTTTCATGTTTTTTAAATCTCTTGTCTCTCTGTTATGTGTTTTGGGGAATTCTTGAGCTCTATTTTTGAAAAAGCTAAATTTCTCTCAGACTGTGCCCAGTTTAGAATAAAATAGACTTATTTTATTACTTCTGTCACTCATGTGTAAGATTTATAATTGGTCATTTATATATCCATATAACTTTATTTAATTTGTCTATTTTTCTTTCATGATTTGAATTTTGTAAGTGAAAGTATTCCTTCATTTATCTTTTTATGTATCCTCATCATACTTACTTTAAATTCTTTGTCAGGCTGCTCCATAAACTTATTTTCACCTAGGGTGAATCCATGTCCCAGTTATTGTCTCTGTCCCAATGACTGCACACTAATCCTGAACCGTCTTCATATGATTTGGGATTTTGGTTTGTGACTTCATCTTGGGTGGGAGATCTTTTTCCTTTCTCTCTCTGTCTTTGTCTTCACTTCTCCCTGACCTACAATTTGGCCACTGCCGTTACCTCGCCTCCTTGCTCCCAGTTAACGATCAAGTCTTGTAACGGTATTTTGGGGCTCCTGCCCCACTGTGATATTGAGGGTATCTCAGATGAAGTCACTGAGGAGAGAGCAAGTTGGTCCTGTTTCTGGTCTTGAGGCTACAACTGAGTCCTCCTGCCTTTTTGGGCCTGTAGCTCCAGGCAGGGAGCTGGCAGGTTTTACAACCTCCCTTTCTGATACAGGGGTACCACGGCAGCTCTGGCTCCAGCTTCCTGTCCCTAATCAGTCCCCATGTCCCTATAGGACCTTAACCCCCTGCTGCTGCTGCCCACTTGCAGCACCTGAGGCCTGCAGACCTGTACCATCAGCCCTGTTCAAGGCTTTGAATTGTTTCCAAGACTGCTTATGGCCTTTTAGTTCACAGTTTTTAATATTTTATCTATTAGTGCTATGTATTTGGAGCGAAAGGGGCCAGGGTGGGAACTTACCATGCTGTCTCTACCAAAAATCCAGACCTTTTCTGAACACCAGGTTTTCGGAAGGTGTGCTGTGGCAGTGTATGAACGAAGCGCCTGAGTACCAGTAAAGCAGTTGGAGCTCAGCTCAGTGTTGGGAAAATAACAGGGAGTGGTGGGGAGTGCAGTAAAGGGCAAGTACGCGCCTGGATGCTCAAGGCAACGCTCAGCTCTCGTTGATTTTTACTAGGTGAAAGTGTAGCCTAAGTTTGAACAAATCTTTCGATTTTTAAAGAACAGCTAGAAATGTAGATTTACATGTGAAATTGACTGAGTTGTAAATGTTGTCAAGTAAGTCACCAAACAAGTGTGTGGGCTGGATTTGGTCTAGAATATTCAATTCCTAATACACCCAGAGCTCTTCTGGACCATAAACCACACTTGACAACCATCCTTCCCTCCGAGGGCCACTGACTTTACCCAGTCACTCACTAGGTGTGCTTTTAGGAAACACGGAGCCACAGGATGTAGCAGAAAGACCTTGAGCTTGGGTGTGCAGGTTTCCCTGCCGGTCACCACTTGCAATCTGTGTTGCTTGGCAAAATGCTCAGTCCTTCTGAGTGTCAGCTCTAAAATGGGCATAGTTACACTGCCCTGCAGGGTTGCTGTCAGGATTAAATGAAGTAAGATCGGGAAAGCACTCAGCACAGTAAGTGCCTGGCACACAGTAAGCCCTCAGTGTTAGCTATTGTTACAACTAACAAATCACCCGGCCTCAGAGGATGAGAGAAGGATCTTCTTTGTGAACTAATGTCGACTAATAAATGTAGAAGAAAAGACAGAATTAGAAAATTACCATTTTGTTTCACCTTAAGGGTGCTCTGGTTTGGGCGGGCAGCGAGGGGGTGCAGGACTGCCGACAGCCAGACTCACACGCCTTCCGCCTTAGCTCGCCGGACGCCTTGCTCGATCATCAGCAGTTCTCGATTCCAGCACACACAGCTTCTGCAGCAACGGCTGGCCCATTGTCTGCCTCCGTCTTGGCACACGTGACGCAGCGACCACACTGGCAGAAGGGGAGGCAGGGGCCAAGGAGCGGAGGCGGGGGCGAGGCACAGATTCCAGCTCCGGCGAGTGACTGCAATGTGCGCAGTGGTGAGATGGCCAAATTTCTCGCCAGCAGCCCAAACCTGTTGCTCTAACCAAGTTAGTTAATGAAAGAGATGTCAAGGAAGAAATTTCCCACCGGGAAAGACAAGGCCTATGTGGTGACTGGCCTGGATTTCTTTGTTTTTTTCAATGTACCGGAAGCAGCAAAAATGCACGTGGGTCCGGGCTTCTAGTGACTGCAGAGAAGTCTGGAGAATATTTGTATTTAATACCCTTGTGTTCTACTTCAGGTTGACATGGATAGAACATGAGAGATGATTAAAGGCATTAAAAAAAAATTTGGACGGAAATTCTGAATACAAGAAGACAATAATGGAAACAGTAATTGATTAAAAAAAAAAGAAAGACAGTAAAAAAGAAAGAACGATCACTTTTGCTTGAAAAACTAACGCATCCTTTTCGACAGCAGTACAGTTAGCGGTACAGTTAAGGAGAACCTTTAACCCACAACTGGAGTTTCAGGAATTTATGACAGAGGCCTAATTCAGCAGAGGCATAGAAAAAAGGATGCACAAAGATGCTCATGGTAACATTTTAAATAATAAGAAAGAAAGTGCAGATAGCCAGACAACCAAAACGTCTAACTTTAGAAAAAAGAAGTTTAGTAATTTATAAAATTGTCCTCGAATTTAGATGGTCATTAAAATCATAATTATAAGGACTATAGAATCATATTTCTATTACAGTGAATAAGTGGAAATAATGAAGTACAAAATTATGGACACCACTGAGAAGTGGAAGTTAAATTGCCAAAAATTAAAACAGTGGTTTAGGATGTTTATAAATTACTATTATTACTTTAAAATTATTCATTATTGATGCATTCTTTCCAATAAAGAACACTTATTGCTCCACATACATTTTCTAAACAAGAATCGGGGACTGTTTAGAAACAATTTCTGTGTTAGAATACCTAAAATATCTATGAGATAAAAGGTACTAGTATTTTAATTGGTTAATTTGACGGGAACAGTAAGATGAAAAGGAAAGTTCTAAAATTTTTATTTTAGGGGAAAACTCATATAGAAAAAAACACAGAAACACTCAGGTTCATGTTTTTCTCATATAGTAAAATGAGGTTCTTTTTTTCTTCACTGAAAAATCTTATGGGGAATCTATCCAGATACCGAAAATAACAGTGCTCCTTTGACCCCGACGTGATTTGAACACGCAACCTTCTGATCTGGAGTCAGACGCGCTACCGTTGCGCCACGAGGCCCTGCCGAACCCACCGTTTGACCCGTCTCGTGAACAGACACATCATCAGCAATATGGGAGGAGTTTGATTCTCAGGCCCTGCTTCTAAGATTCTGTCAACGTGGTTCTCAGAGGCGCTAGCGGGCTAGATGCGCGCGCATGTAGGAATTAAACATCCTCTTCTGGACAAATTGCGCTTAGGTGCACTTTGTTTAAGGCCCAGTTCTTTAACCTTGGGACACATTGAGGTCATTCAACAGAGACGCGATTTTATGTGTTTGGGGTTTATTTCTGGGGATGATAAAGCCATCATGTCGATGCAGATCTGGCCCCCTAGAAAATCTTACGATTTAATCCCAGCTGTGCCAGAAAACCCCTTACTTAACCTCTCTGGACCTTGGTTTCCTCATTTGTAGATTGGTATAATCACACAGTCTCTCGTGGGGTGACTGGAGCGCACTGGCGGTGATGGGAACCGAGTGCCGCTCACACGTGCGTGCCCCGCAGATGGCAGCTATTCTACCTCGGTTTCGCTCGAGTCCTCCCCTTGCTGCGCTCTGGTCCAGCTGCCGAATTACATCTCCCAGGCCACGACTTTGCTGACGTATCTAAGTCTTAAACAATCCCAGGAAGACGACTTACTATCTGGCGTTGGTGGTATAGTGGTGAGCATAGCTGCCTTCCAAGCAGTTGACCCGGGTTCGATTCCCGGCCAACGCAGTTACGTTTTAAAAACTTTTTTCCCCTCCCCATTCCTTGGGCCTAGTCCCAGTGTCGCCCGTCGAGGGTTGTGTGAGGGACCAGCTGCCAGCGACCGGGGCTGGATTTACCCCTCACGCCCCTCTCGTCGAAAACAGCACGCTGGAATCTTCGCCCGGGATTGCGGACTCTACGTGGATTGCGGTGCCACTCCACAGACACCAAAGAGAGGAGGCCAAAGGAAACGAAACCCAGTCTCTGCACCATGGGCCGTGCGGGCGCGGGCCCCGGTCTCCGCGTGCCTGCGGGCGAAAGTGGCTTGCTCGACCTCAAGCTGAGACTGGAAATGCGCATTTCTGTCAAGAAGAGAGCACCGCGCGGGAGGTCAAGTCTGACGGCAGGATTACTCGGGCTGTCAGTTTTGTGCTGTTTGCCCGTCTGTGTTTTTCAAATTATCGTAAACGAACACGTCTAATTAGCATATTGAACGACGAGAATAATGGCTAATAAACCTATTGAATGGAGAGAATAATGGCTAATTTAGCCACACATTTAAAATGCCAGTTAGTTGAAGTAAAACATAAACTTGAAATTTAGAATGTGAGTTTCAGAGTCAGGACAAACTATCCCTCTCCTTCTCTCTTCCTTTTCCTTCCAGTCTTCTTTTTATCTCTATTCCAGGGCTCAGGACGGGTACTTCCTAAATAAGTAGGATTAAATGGATTTAAGACAGAAAGATCGAAGCGAGGGGGGAGAAGAAGGAAAAAAAACAAAACAAAAAAAACCTGTGCTTTGCTCCTCCCCGTCGGGGAATCGAACCCCGGTCTCCCGCGTGACAGGCGGGGATACTCACCACTATACTAACGAGGACCGAGCTATACACAGCGTTCTCCAAACCCTTGATCTGATACCTTCACCGAGTTCAGCGTGCTACCAGCGATGTTCCTGGGGATTCTGTCCTTCCGACCACTAAGAAATGCTGTCTCGAAACCCATGCACGTTCTAGACTCTAACTGAGCGTTAGGCCCCAGGAGGGTAGAAACGAGCAGGAGAGACCGAGAGACAGACGGCCTCCAAGGCTGCAGAGACTTAAGTTCTGAAAGTCCCTGGGCTCTCCGAAACGCTCCCTAGATAGGTCCCACCCCATTTCACTACCTGTCATCCACTGCTATAGGTTGACTGGCATCAATCAAACCGAAACCAGGCTCTGGCGGCCGAGGAGAGGCATCCAGCAGGAAGGAGGGGAGTAGAAAGTGAATGTCTTGCCGAAGTCTGGAGGTGCCTGCGCTCTTCCTGGCACACCAGGAGGGACTGCGCACTGTGAGCCTCTTCCTGCCGTCGGGGTATCCACTCAGAACAAAAGAGCTGACTGCACACCTCCTTCAAGCGCTCAGTTCGCTGTTCCCACTTTCCAGGCCAGCCTCCGCAGCGCCGTTCCAGTAACAAGCGCCTTAGGGCACTCTAGTTTGCGCAAAAAAAAGAAAACCGAAGGAGGGCTCGTCCGGGATTTGAACCCGGGACCTCTCGCACCCGAAGCGAGAATCATACCCCTAGACCAACGAGCCGACGTGTGACAGGGACTGCGGACGCCTTTAGAGGTCGTACCAGGCTTTCTGCGGTCCTAGGGCCACGACTCACAGGGGAATGGTTCTGGCACGCGCTTAGGGACCACTCGCCCCGATGCCGAATACTCGGGAGCAGCGGTCCGGGAATCTCTCTGCTCGCTGGCCGCCAGCTCCGACTCCTCCCAGGAAATAACGTCGGGGAAGTGAGAGGGAGTGGTCTCGGCCTCGCCCCCGCGCAGCCCTCTAGTACTGCCTTGAGCGCCCGAGTTCCCGCTCCCTATGCCCGCTGTCTCGGCGCTATTCCATAACCTGGGTTCTCGACTCTCCCCGGCTCCGCCTGCCGTCCTCGGACTCAGCCTCCCGGCGCAGAGAGCTTTGAAGACAAGCGGTGGAGTTACCTGGTTGGGGACAATTAATGATTCCTGAAACCTCTAGGTGAACACCAGCCCGTTTCTGTCCCTGCCTCTATCCATCCTCCTGGAGTGACGGGCAGGGCCAACCCCAGGCCAGACTGACTCTTCGATAGCCCACGGTCTCCCCAGACCGCGTGGTAGTGCCCAGGCAAGGGGATAACTCCTGGGGCCAAGAAGATCCACAGAGGTGTCACTGAGATGAGTGGCTGGCGGCATGGGGTAGGGGGACCGGCTTTCCAACCTGCGTGAGTGGTGCGAGGCGCCAGGCCACACGACCAGGGCTGCCCCTGACGCCTAAAACCCCTACCAGCTCTGGTCCCAGGACGTCCTGCCTGTGAGATCAGGTTACCCTTACCCTCCCGTCTAGCTTCCGCTCTCCAGTTACCTCCTAGGATGTCCGGGAAGGAGACTCTCCTACCTGCCGCCTAAGACCCCCAAAAGGTAAGGGGCTCTGAGGCAAGCGCCGGCATGAGTCAAGTCCAAGGCCAGCAGACCCGGCCTTGGGGCCTTTCAGAGTCTCCCGGGCTGCTCGGTGAGCCTCTGTGCTTTTAATACATTCGCCACGTTCTCACCTTGGGGGCTGCCAAGGGTCCTGGCAGGACCTGGTGGGGTCAGTTGCAGGCTCAGTAGGTGGTCTTCGCAGGGTTCTGATCTGCCACGGCCCTCGACTGCCTGGTAGCATCTCTGGCTGAACCATCTGGTTCCACACCCTAGTTGTGTAACGCCCAACTCACAGATACTTTGGTGAGGCGACTTCAAAGAAGGGTTCAGCTCTTCGGTTCTTCTTTCCCAGGTGTCCCTGGCCAGACAGTGGGGGAGAGCAGCAGAGAACAGCTCATGCTTTCCTGTTAGTGTCCCAAGCCTTTCAGGTGGGTGAGGAAGCGCTCAGGGCTGATCTTCTGGCATCTCTCTGCCCCTAGCCTTTTCCATTTCCTGTCTCCCTTCTCTTGGGCCCCAGCTTTCCCCCAAGTCTCTAGGGGCCTCTCTCTAACCTGGTCTCAAGCACTTAATCTGCACAGAGGTAGAGGCCTATATCCCTTATGGAACATGATGAAAGCTATGGCTCCTTTTACTCGAAAAATCCTTACAATATCAGGGAATTCACAGATACCCCAAAGCCCCATTCATGGACCCCACTTTTAGAACCAAGAACTAAGGTGTAAACAACTGATCCTTGTTTAAACTTTGGTACAAGTATTTTATATTTTAACAGGAATCAAAGCTTTACATGGAAAGATTGAGTTCTAAAGTATAACTCTGGGCAGTCACAGTTGTTTGAAAGACATTGGGTGGGAAAGAGTGAACAGATATTCTTGGTCAATTTGAGATGGTAGCAACTCCGCCCCCACCCCCCACCCCCCAGCACTTCCCTAAAGTAGAACCCTGGTATCATCCTGAGTTTCTTCTTCCCCTTCAGACGCCACATCCTATCAGTTACTGAATCCTATTGTTTTTTTATACTAAACATGTTTTGAATTCATCCCCTCCTCTCCATCTCTCTGGTACAAGCCTTTGACATTTCTACAACCAACCCCTGTCACACATACTCTGTGATCCCTTGTGTTATTCTTCTATGTAGCATTTATCTAGCAATTATATAATTTTTAATTTTTGTTTTATTTATTTATTTTTCCCCCAAAGCCCCAGTAGATAGTTATATGTCATAGCTGCACATCCTTCTAGTTGCTGTATGTGGGACGTGGCCTCAGCATGGCTGCAGAAGCGGT